AAGTTTACAACCAGCACTTGAAAATCCATACTTTTACACCACACTTTGCTATTTTTACTCTGTTTTACAGTAAGCAATCAGTATTTTCGTTTCTTATATTTCACCTGCAAACTTCTTTACAAATGCTATATGGACCAATAGATTAAGGCACTACTACTAGAAAGTAAACTAGTCTATATGGGAGTAAAATGATCAGAACTCAGGTATCAAAAGCAATCATCCTACTGTAAGCAAAGATTAAAGAATACTATGTTGACTATGTAAATATATCATTGCAGAGTAGTCACATCCAAGAAATGCCTTCATCTTTCCTGAGGATAAATTTCTAGCAAAAAAGATTTTCTTACTTCAGCACATTCTACTTCCATCACTACTTACAAGAGTTAAAATCAGTAGGACCAAACCTCTCAGGAGCAGTTTGGAGACCTGAACATGTAGAAAGTGACTATTATACATCAAGTCAGAAGGCAGTTAATATGAAAAACAGGAACACAACTCCGACCACTATTTTCTTGGAGGGCTGGCAGCAAACTGTCAGATGCATGTGTGACCTCAAAACAACCTTTTGCCAGATGCCTCTTTAACCTCTTACAATTACATCAACTTCTAAAAAGACTGGTACATTTTACCATTTTCCTCCTTTGGTTATGCAAATTAAGAAGATGTACTTAAAAGACAGATTGAAAACGTTTGGTTCTCTGCATTTTTATCTGTCCTAAAGCCCCAAAATAAAGCTCTCTAATACAGCAGCACATACTTTTTTTTCTCCTCAGAATTAAAACTGCTGTAGAAGTTAAACAAGAATTCTTCGTCTTTCTTTTCTCCTCCCTTGAGTCAGTGTTCAAAACCAAGTAACTTTATGAGTTAGCTGTGGGTCAAGGGGACAAGACAATATTCAGCCAAAGCAATCATTAAATCACTTTTAACAGTATTTATAATTTTTAAGTAAATAATTTTTTTCCATAGAAAGTATGTTATACGTCTTATGTTGCAATCAATAGAAGCCAACACAATTATTCATATTATTCAGATTCAAAAATGGCCTGTTGTAAAGAAGGGCATTTCTGCAAATTTAAAAATAATCAAATTCATACCATGGAAGAGTCATGAACATGTTTCAGGGGCTCAAGCCTTAGAAAGCACAAAAACCCAGAGATGTTGCGGAATGAAAAGTAGGTCATGTATAATAAAGTGTTAAAAATACTAACATCTGATTTGTAGCTGAAAACTATTTTTAAAATCCAGAGGTGTACAAGTAAACGAAGAATTGCACAGCCCTTTGTTAACAAAAACATGTTTTGATGAGGCATTGAAAAGAAAGATTCTCTGTGCTGTACAGAATCCAAGAAAAAAATTTCCTTTAAGAAATATACCTCCTTATACAGCAAAACAATGAATTTCAGTTGTTCTGTAACCCAGTTCCTTTAATCTGCATAAGAGATGCTGACTGAGTTCACTCAACCAAATCACTACTGGCTTTCAGAATACAATCAACACATGCTTTTCAACAGTATTAATATAGCATGAAGCTTGTGCTCCTAATTATTCATGTTTTTGCATTCTGTTTTTTCCCCCTGCTGTAAAATATGCAAATTTACTTCTTTGTGTTATTTAGGTCCCACATGGGCCTCAACAGATCTGTTTGGAAGGAATTACAAGCCAACATCTAGATACATGCTGTCAACATTTCAAGCTTCATTATTTTTATTAGGTTGGAATGTCATTATAGATTTGATATTAGGTTTTAAAAAGCTTTTTATAAATCTGTTGAAAACCTACAGTCTAATAAAATGGTGTACTGATAATTACTACTACTCCACTTTGTGTGTCTGTGCATGAAAGGGAGAGAGAAAAGCCCTACAAGTCTTGAATACAAGAGAAATCCCCATCTAGCGGTACTAATGAAAAACGCAGTTTGTTTTTGTGCAAAATTAGTACCCAAGAGGATTAGCTTGACTTCATTACTGAATGAAGGGTAGCCATTACCTCCTTATGCAACTAAGGATCGGTAACAGGAGAGGACTGTTTCTTCTGAATTCCTCCTCTTCCCTTTTCAGTCAACTCAGTGCCCAAATGAGCTACTAACGATTTTTAAGTATAAAACCCATAAAGCAGCACTTCACAAAACAGGTCATTTAATACTGTAACTTCTTGGCATGCATCAAACCTGTTCACTTACAGTGGCACAGGCTCACACATATAAAGTATTCTTTAGAGAAAAATATTACAAGATTTCCCCAAATCTCAGATTATTATAAAGTTAGTATTAAGTATTTTTAAACTTAAACAACATAATGAAATAGTAGCTTGGTTATTCAAAGACTGAAAGGTTGGAAATAACTACACAAGCACTTACTGTTATAGAAGACATACGTAATATAAGCCCATTGATGCAGAAAGTGAAAGGCCATTGAGACAATGCTTTTTTCCAACTGACACAAAGCCTTGTGCACTTCTTTAATGTAATAGTATATTTTAAAACACTGCAGCAGTCCAGCCTTCCTTACTAGCACCACTAAAAGCTCCTTAAATATTAATGAAAAAACAATGTAGAGATTCACAGGAATCTACTACACATTACTACTGACTCCTAGAAAACAAACAGCAGTAGTAACACTAAGATTTTACAAATCTGTTGATGCATTTAATCTTTGAGATGTGTACACAGGAGAAACCAAAAAACTATTTGAATTGCAGGAATAAACTAGTATGGGGGGAGTTCTCTGATTTGAGAGGATCAGTATATCAAATTTCCCTTTCATAACAGACTCAGTCCTGAAGATTTTAAAATTCCACATTTCTCTCACAAGCAAACATTTAAGCAGTTCTTCAAAATATATGTAGCGATCTGTATTACTAAGATCAATATGGAAACAATAAGGAACTTATCATAAGACCTTTTTACAAGCTGGGTGACAATGGGAGTGTCCCTTAATTTAAATATGCAATTTATCCAATTCTTCCTTCCACAAAAGTACCCCAAAAACTATCTGCGTGCTGAATAAATTCATGGCAAAACAGAAATGGGGAGTTGGAGGGGAACAAGTATATGTAAAGTTGGACTTCAGAAAACAGTCAACACTTCCAGAACTAAAGACTGACTTGTGTTGATGATTTTATTTTTTTACACCTTCAGTACAGAAGACTTTCTGATTTGTTAAGGATGTTCTTTTGCAATACAACTGCAGTTAACAAAGGGAAACATTCAGTTGGCTGTAAATCATACTTTTCTCAGTCTCACAGCTGAGTGAGGATGCTCCTGCCTACACATGAGGATGATCCTGTACGAAGGAATTATAATACTTAATTAACTCAGTAATATATATACAGAATACATTGGAGGAAAGTTCAAGTACCTCATTTAAGATAAAGCCTAAATTCAAATTCTTTGCAGAGATTAGCTTAAAATAGTAAGTCATACCAAAATTTTCAGATAATAATATCTGCTCTCATCCATCATAATTTATCAAACTCATTGTGTACTCTTTTTGCATCCCATTATGTTCCTGACTTTATCACAGCATGTATTAGTGATGAATTCTACAACACCTTGCTTCTCAAAAAAAAATCCTGAATTTTCCACCTTTCATCTAATACCAGTTCTCTTCTACTTTCTTAATAAGAAAGAAATATTTGCCTTATACTGTATTTCATCTCACAGGATGAAAAACAGTAGTTCCCACCTCCTCTTCCGTGAGGTTTTAGATGTTGGTGCAAGCCTGACCACATTTGTTCTGTAGACCTCCTTCTCTTCAGACATCGGCATTGAATCAGAAGGTACACATCAGTTAATTTGACAGATCCAAGACTCACTTAAAAACCACAAGTCCTTCTCCTTATTGGGAAGAGATTTTAAAACACTTAATTTCTTATGTCTATGACTATTTATGTTCTCTTGAGAGGAAACATGACAGGCAAAAATCATGCTTGCTCCAATAGTGAGAAGCATAACAAACAAGTGTTAATCCAAAATTTGCTTACTAGTTGTAGCTTGCCTCCAAGGATCTAGGAAAGAACAGTAGGGAAAAGGGAGATTTGCAGAGCAGGACTGTA